GGGTTAGGGTAGGGTTTAGGGTTTAGAGTTTTAGATTTATAGGGTTTAGGGTTAGGGTAGGGTTTAGGGTTTAGGGCTTTAGATTTATAGGGTTTAGGGTTAGGGTAGGGTTTAGGGTTGGGCTAGGGTTTAGGGTTTAGGGTTTTAGATTTACCTTAAGAACCCCCAAACCCACTTTTTTGCAGGTTCTTATTATAAACCCCAATATTGGAGTTATAGGGACCCTACAAAAAAATGGGTTTTGGGGTTCTTAAAGGTATAGGGTTTAGGGTTAGGGTAGGGTTCGGGGTTAGGGTTTTACGTTTGGGGTTTAGGGTTAGGGTTTAAAGTTTAGGGTTAAGGGCTTAGTAGGATTAGGGTTTCAAGTTTAGGGTTTAGGGATGCCCTATGACACGGGGTTTATGTAGCTGTGTAGGTCCTCAAGATCCTGGATTAGGGGATTCCTGTTTCGGAGCTCAGTTAAAGGAAACTACAGGTGGGGAGTTTAGGGTCTCAAGGACTTAATAAAAGGAAGCTACAGGTGGGGAGTTAGGGTATAGGGGTTTAGGGTTCAGGGTTTAGGGAACTACAGGTGGGGAGTTTAGGGTATATAGGGCTTCTATAAGGCTTCCATAAGGTATATAGACCTTCTATCAGGCACGTATAACGGCAGCTACCCACCTGAAAATGTCCTAGACTCAGGGCTTAAACCACTACATGCGGGTAGTCGTAGGGTGTAGGGTTTAGCGAGTACTCAAGCAACAACAATCTTCGCCCCAAAAAGCCTCCCTTGTGGGCATGATGTACTCGTATAGAAGGTGCGTATAACCTTACTTGCTCATAGAGGTTTAGGCTTCAGGGTTTAGATAAGTTCACCTTTACTGACAGGATCATGGAACTTACAGTATATACTATTTGGGTAACATGGACCCTTAGGGCTTTTTTTCCGGATCTCCTTAAACCCTAAACTCTGAACCTTTGAAACTCGGCCATCCCCTTGAAGCGTCCAATAGGGTTTCGGGCCCAAGGTATCTACTTAAAGGATCATGGGACTTAGTAAATAGGGCTAATAGTTAAGGCAACTATACTTATATTTACTTATAACCCCAATTAAGGGACTTATAACCCTAAACCCTAAACCCTAAACCTTATAACCTTACCTACCAAGTCCCATGATCCTCCAAGCAGGGTGTTACTCTAGAACCTTACAGGGCCCTTAAGCCGGTGTTGACGTGGGTTTATGAAAGTATTGCAATAAGCCAGGGAAAAAATGTTAAACTTTCAGATGACTACTAAATTCTAAGAACCCAAAGAGTTTAAAGGTTGGGTATTGGAGAACTAAGGAAGTGCGACGTGTCTGCCACTTAGGCTCTTCGGTTCTTGGATGATAGTAATGTGGGTTCGTTTTGGAGAGACCACCAGAGGGGCCTTAATAATTAGAATAGGGTTTTGGGGGGCCCGTTATACTATAATTCTAGTAAGGAACCCCCAAAATAGTGTAGGTAATTATTGAGACCCCTGCATTACATGGTCAGGAATTAAAACCCGTAAGGGTCCCTCAAGGCTATGTCCTACAACCGGTAAGCATGGAGCATGGCTGAAGGCTCTGACTCTTCCATAAACCCTAAACCCTGAATCCTAAACCCTAAACTCTAAACCCCCCTAAACCCCCTAAACCCTAAGCCCTAAACCCTGAACCCAAACCCTAAACCCTAAACCTTAAACCACCCCTTTCATCCCCCAAGCTTTCAACCCCAAGCCACAAACGCTGCTGTGAATGAATGCCGCGCAGCTGTCCGAGTCGGATCCTACCTAACTGTCTGGTGCTTAGTAGGCAATGGGGGAATGGCTTATAGGGACTACTATAAGGGACCTTAAGGGACTATCATAGGGATCCATTCCCCCATTCCCTACTACGCACCAGACAGCTAAAGGCACTCTCATGAGGACCCAGACATGGAACCCTGGGTGACAGACACGTAGATGTATGCTAACATAGGTACACAAATCGATCGATCAATCGATAGGTATATGTATATACGTAAATTTATATCATGTAAGTAACTCACTATTAGATTACTTTAAATAGAAAATACGTAAGAAAATTATATACATAGAGAGAGAAAGAGAACACGTATGTGTATGCCATATTGTGTATTAGATAGCTCCAGCTAGCTTCTAGCAAGGTAGGTAGGTAGGTAGGTAGGTCGGTAGGTCGGTAGGTCGGTAGGTCGGTAGGTAGGTAGGTCGGTAGGTAGG